TAATGACCTACTTATGGACCTATTATTATTGCTCTTCTTGTTGTTCAGGATAAGGCCATCAAGCGTTTCAATGTGAGGAACATCGTCGATGCCTCTTCCCAGAGGGATATCCGTGAGGCCTCTGTCTACCAGTCCTACGCTCTCCCTAAGCTTTTCATCAAGCAGGTAGGAATTGCTACTTTGCGCGGTCTGTCGCAGCTATCATTCGATTCTATTTAGGTGTACTGCGTTTCCTGCGCCATTCACGCTCGTGTCGTTCGTGTCCGTTCCGCCGAGAATCGTCGTGTCCGTGAGGCCCCTCCTCGTCGCGGTGCTCCCCAGAGGAACTAAGCTTGTGTCGTTGGTGATGATGATGACGACGACCACTTGTTGCAGTATGTTGGTTACTACGTGTACTGATTGGAAACGCTGCTGAGTAGTCGGCCGCTGAGGCTACGGGACTTCCCAGGAGAGTTGTGTTGGGTTACGTAGGGGGTGGAATCATTGCTCACCTGAATAGGAAACCACCTCTTCAATGAAGTTTTTGCAATGAATAATTTGTAGAGTTCTCGGAATGTCCTCCTCGTCATGAGTTGGTAATCGCGTTGTCGGCTTTCTTGTCGTATACCTTTCCAGTAACTGGTAGTCGCACTAGAATAAGGGTATCAATGTCATTGTTCTCCATTTACTTGCCTTGAGGCTTATCAATATGGTGTTGGGCGTGCAAAGTGTCTTTCCTACGGAACCAACTCGCGAGCCCTGATCAGAAACGCCATATAATCTGATCTCGTGTACTCCAAAAAGCAACGCCTCCGCCGTATTTCACCATGCACTGGTATCCAACTAAGATGGAGGCACAGAGTCAGCGCACACGCTTCGAATGATGTAGATGGAAAATAATGAGGATAGTGAGCTGTCCCCCAGATGAGTAGACACAATCAGAAATATTCTGGGCGGGAGTCATCCAAAAGGTTAAGTCGTGACAACTAGTGAAAATACATGTCACTGGTTTGAGCTGAAGATATTCCATCAGAAAACGTTTCGCATGGGTCACCACTCATCATTAGCTTAATCGCGAAGTGGAAAGCTAGAACCTAGGTACTGGAACTACAGGCCCAAGACCTTAGAGATAGATAGAATGATGGTAATGGGAGTAGAAGTATGCGTACTGAAAAAGGAGATACCCATACACGCCGGCAATGCAGCCGCGGCCAGTCAGGGCGCATTGTTCGAACTTGATAAGAGCATCTTATTAGATATGTGTGCTTACGACCGTAGTATACTCGGAAGTGCCATGCATCTTCCATATGCTGTATTATGTCCTGGAGAGGATGATTGAGATGCACCATGTGCACGCGATTCGGCCTTTTCCTATCCCAGATGAAGCGGAGATGGCCTTATCGTGTTACGAGAGTAAGAGAAAGAATGACTGGAAATGAAAAACACTGCCTTGTGAGACGATAAGAAAGACTTCCGATCACACCTTCAGCGATGTTGCACTGTTCCAGTATCGCAAAGGAGCTCTGCTGACCTCAAACTGTTACTGAGGATAGCCGCAAAGTCATCGCTCTAGTTGATAGCCCTTCATGAGAGCGTGACTCGATTATACGAAGAGGAGCTCCATGCAAGAGGATTGACGATCCAACCATGTCTGAGTTGTGCTGTTCATTACAGTGTGCTTGCGTCGAGT